ATGTCTTCCTCTGCGACTGGAATTTGGTTATACGCTCTAACCAAGTCGATCGTGGAGAAAATCTTCTTGTTTGCCAGTGCATGCGTGAAATCGTCGATGTTGCGTACAGGATATCTGTCCGGGATTGTTCTCGCGTTGAGAGCACGGTAGTCTCCGCATGGGCGCCATTCATCGTCTTCCTTTGGGACCATGTGCAGTGGCGATGCCCAGGGGCTGGAGGAGGGACGTGCTATACCCAGTTGTACCGTTTTAAATTCTCTTTTGGCTGCAGAGAAACGGTCCGGGGCTAAACGTCGTGGTTTGCATGCTACTGGTGGACCGGTGGTAGTGTTGATATAGTGCTTTGTTGCATGTGTCGAAGAGGTGATCTGGCCGTTGGGTCGAGTTAATGAGGGAAAATCACGAAGTATCTCGTGGTATGGCGAAGTGGTCGGTTTCGTTCCTGTAACGAAAGTGACGGAAGGTTGGCTGCAGTTGATTAGTCGACCAGAGGTGGTGAGTTGTGTCAGTTGATCCAAGAGTCGTTGGTTGCTTAAATCTACCAGCAGTTGATAGTGCGCTAGGAAGTCTGCACCGATAATTGGTTTGGTGACGTCGGCTATAATTTAACGCCATGGGAAACATCTTCGTAGGTCTAAGTTGAGCGACAGAATAATAGTACCATAGGTCGGTATGTTGGTGCCGTTTGCTGCTTGTAGCATGAATGTGGATTTCTGACGTGGCCCAGGTATTAGTGACTTGGGATACACGCAGATATCTGCACCGGTGTCGACCAGAAATTTTTGGTTTGTGGCTCTATCCGTTACAAATAGGCGACGCTGCGTTGTGTGGAACTCACTTGTCGCCATTAGTGAGCTCCCTGTAGGTTTCCCGATGACTTCCTGCACGGAGGAATGCATTTCCGTGCCTTGTCTTGGAATCTGCTGTGGTAGAAGCAAAGGTCACTGCTCTTGTTGTTGTTGTTGGATCGTCTTTGCGAAGAAGTGCCTCTCGAATGAGATCGAGATCTTGTCCTCGAACCTCTCACCATATGTCGTCTTATTTGGTGCAGATCCATCTGAAGTGCTTGCACCTTGTTGGTCAGCTGTTGGATGTCCTCATGCTTTTTAGTAGGTGTGGCCGTGGTTGCTATCATGGACTGTGTTTGCGTTGCTTCCATGATATAGTCGGCGATTTCGGCAACTTCATCCAACTGCTTGTCCTTCATTGTTGCTATGACCGTCTGTAGATTTTGCGGAAGCCGACCTGACCAGATTGTGCGTAGTAGATTCTCTGGAGTAGAATTTCCAGCCAGGTTTTGAAGGTGACGCAGAAATTGGGATGGTTTTCTGTCACCAATTTCTTCCTGCCCCAGCAGTTGTTTGGTCCTTAATTTTTGCGAAGTGCCCAATCGACGAATGAGTGCTGCTTTGATGGTAGCATATGGTTCAGTCGCCGGTGGGTTTATTATAATGTCACGCACTTCGGCTGCGTACCGTGGATCCAAGTTTTCCAATACATACCCGAATCTTGTCGATTCAGATGTGACTCCCGAGGCTTCAAAGCTTCGTTCCACCATGCAAAACCATAATTCAGGGTCGGATGGCACGAAGGGTGGCAGCTTGACAGCTAGACGGTCGATGGATGAGGCAGGTTGGGTTATTTGTGGGCGTGACATGGTTAAATTTCCACGTTACGGTTGGCCTCGGCGACCTTTTTGTTGATATGTTGTTGTAGATGGCGCCGGTATTCACGGTAGGCCGTCCAAAGTAGGCCGATCACTTGTAACGAGATTATAATGTAAAGAAGACAATCGTTGCGTACCAGGGGCGAGGCAGTCGCATTTCCCGCGGCGGATTGAGCAATAACAATCTCTTCTTTGGATGGCGAGGAACCCATAGGAGAAAAGCAGATGAGTTGTTACCGTATAACAGGCTGGGGTGGCACGCCCAGCAAGGGTGAGTACGTTTGTTCCAATGCGTTGAACAACTCACGCAAAAAACGTTGATGCTGGAGATATTGGTCCAGATCAGAAGGCTCACCAGACACAGGGGTCGGAGTTGAGGGTTGTAGTTGGGCGGCTAGACGGGCAAGACGACGACGTTCCTTTCTTCGTTGACGACTATTCCAGTGATGGATCCTGTTGTTCATCACTGTCCTTGCGTTCGTAGTCGGGGTCACCACTGTGGCCACTCTCTGTCGTATGAGATGAGAGATGTGTGACTAACAAGTTGTGGTTCTGAGAAGAACCGATTTACAAAAGCGTTGGACACATTGCTGTGCCTAAGATGAGACGTAGCACTGGTACAGCATCCGATGGTCGATATTCTGGAGTTGATACTGTTGCAGTATATAATAATAGCGAGCCTGGTGTTAGACTAATTTTATTCGAATATTTACAGAGTATTTATACAAAATCTATTTACATGGATTAAATGGCAAAGAACATTTCAGCACTTTACATTTGTGTGTGTATTTGCCGTTGTACTAGTTAGTCGCAGTGTGTCGCGACCTAACTAAGTCAGCACAAATGTGGAGGCTTGATTGATACACAACAATAAATGTTTTTTTTGCTATACCGAGTGTTCTCACAGTAACATAAGTAACTGGATCCAGTAATTTTCTTCCAGTTTTGTCTTTTGCAACCGATGGACCAGGGTCTTGCGTTACTCTTGTTATTTCACGACGCATGGTACTCTCAATGGCAATTTTTGTAGTATAATGCGGATCACTTGAGGATTCGTCATACGTTCTTCAATCATTGGCTTGGCAAGTTTGCGTAGAAACAGACGTCGTTCCGCTGTTTTCTTTTTAATCATTTGCGAGTGCAGCGATGTCTAATATGTTGAAGAACATTGCCATTGGCCATCTTCAACTGCGCCGCTGACTTGTATATCTTCTGAGCATTTGGTCCATACTGTCAACACCAGTTTTGTATTTATTATAATAACTGCTGAAATCAGGCTTTTTCTTTGCATCATTACCCACAGACATATCTGAATGCATTGTCGATATCAGAATTACTGGTTTTTTCTTTTAGGTACGTAAGAACACATCGTCGTGAAATCCAAAAACTGTCGAGTATTGCTCTGGTGACTTATTTGCTGCCATGATACCAGAGATGTATGGTTTATTTTTCTTTATTGTTCCAACAATGGTGAGATTCCAAGATAGCAAGTACTTTGCAACGGGTAGAGTTGTAAAAAAATTATCCATGCAGATATTTCTTCCACTTCCTCGGTAGAGAGCTGCTAATTCTTTTACCAATCTCTCCCTGATTTGTTTCGCGGGTATTGTTTATTTTGCCAGTATAAATTATGCCGTGTAACGGATAGGCGTTTTCAGCATCACAAATCCACCAAATTTTTATACCATACTTAGCTGGCTTCGAAGGTAAATACTGAGTAAATGCTGTACGACCTCGATATGGATATAATTGTTCATTAGTGGTCAAATTTTCCATAGGCTTGTACATTTGCGATAAATTTGCATTCAGCATTATCCGCAAATCCCGAATCGGAGCTTCTTTATCCTCTTTCTTGCGTTGACTGCGAGTATTAGCGTCGTCAAATCTTAAAAAACGCATGATGTTGTGGAATCTGTTAATTCCCATTGTCGCGCGATACAGTGGATATGAATTGGAATGCCACATATCAGAACAATGGTCGATGTTGGATATATTTGCACCAGCACAAATCAAAACAGTGAAGAATGAATAAATTTCTGGGATCGTCACAGGCTTCCATTCTCGCTGCGAATCTGGATGATTTTCATTGTAACTCTGATAGATGGATGAAGCTTTCTTATTTGTGTGTCGGACGATAATGTCCACCATATTTTCTGTGAAGATTTTCTTGAACGTTTCGCTTATGGATAAGGTTTCCGTGCTGTGATGAGGTCCACTTCGCTGACGTAAAACATTACGAGCTGCAGTCTGATGATTATGTAGTGGCGTTTCCCCCCACACAGTTTTATTCTTTGCAATAAAACTGCTGGTTACTAATTCTACAATAAGCAATCAATACAAAATAAATNTTCTTGTAAATAGGAAAATCGTCTGTTGTTCTATTATGATGGGTTACTTGTGTGGTCGCAGTTAATTTTTGTTGATCGTCGCTAAAAATTGATTTAAATTCCTTACAAAGTTTTGTTATTTTATTTTTTTATTGATTGTTCATATGGTCTAATCTGAGTTGTTTTATTATGTCGCAATTTATATTGTCATCAATCGGGGCTTTGTCTGAGTATATGTATTTGTTAAGTGTATCTACATACATAAGCTCATTAATGTGAATATTATTAAGACATTGCACATCAGCAAAACCGTTATCTACATTATAGATACCTGGTACAATTTGTTCATGGTCAAGAATAACACAAGATCTTTTGTGTAAATTGACCGGGATTTTACAAGTGATGTTTTTTAACATTTTATCTTGTATCTGTGTATGTTCAGTAGTTAGAGTACTATGGGAATAATTTATTATTGCATTTATTTTAGTCAAGTCAGCACGACTAATTAATGCGTCGAAAATTGTATGAAAATCAAAAACTGAAAATTCAATTTGCGTTGGTTCATTAAATTCGTGGAACAAAGGAATGTATAATTTGTATTGTCCTTTGGTCTGTCCGTGGGCCGTTTTAACTTCGAAAGGTTCTTCGTATAAATAGTCAGAAAAATATTTAAAAGCTCAAGAAGAATTCATGATAGAGTCTGAAGCGCCACTATCAATTAAAATTTTGCAATCGTATTCATTTGAGTAAATGTATGGTAGTAGAAGGTTTGCACTCTAGGGAAACGTGGCCAGTTTGGTACTACTAGCACCATCTCTGGGTTAGTCTCGGGACTTATTGAACGATGTTATAAATCGATGTAAATTTATTTTTCGAAGATTTTTATTTTGGTCGATGGTATTTTCATCTAATTGTGAGTTAGTACAGTCGTCCGTAAAACTATCAGGTTTATAGGAGATGTCGGTATCAAGAGGTTGGACGGGTAAGTAGCCGTTTCCGTATTCGTCTTGCTCAACATTTGTCAATTCTTCAACAAGGAAATTAGGTCGTTGTTGGTTTTGGAAATTGTTGGGTCTTGATTGATTTGGAATATTATTTGGTCGTCGAAACTGGGAAACAGTTCTCATGGAAACGTCGCCAGTATTAGAAGGTCTCTGATAAGTATTTTGGTGTATATTCCTGTGTTGTTGGGATACTGGGTGAGGTTTAGACGCAATGAAAGGTTTAAAGGGAGTATTCCTGTTTAATAAAGGAAATTGTTGTCTAGGAATCTGTTGAAGGGTTTAAGGGTTGGTAAAATGTTGTCTTTGCACTGGACTGCAATTTTGTCGAGGTGCAAAGTAATTTGTCTGTGGATGTTGTTTTTGTGTAGGTGTGGCTTTTTGGAAGTACCTGCCATTTGCCTTTAATCTCTAATTTCTTGTTTTCATTATCTAACTCTTTACAGTAATGAAGGGTTTGAGATAAAGAATGGGGTCGTCTTATTTTTAAATCTGAATAATAGGCTTCACCTACAGATAATTTAAAAATATGCCTCTTATAGTGATTCATTAATGCGTTCTGGATTGGATCACCTTCAAAAACACCCGCTAGTTTACTTAAACTGACTTGCATTTTGTCATAAAATTCCTCAACTGATTCGTTAGGTTTTCTAACGCATGAAATTAATTGATTAAATAATAAATCTTCATTTTCTGGAGATTTAAACTTTATTGTGATTAGAGCTTTTAGAGTAGACCATTAACTTGGCTTTTCTACTAAATATGCAAATTCTGGTCTGCCGGTCCGCGTTTTTCGACGTCTTTTTATTGTCATTTTGTAATGTGGCCACTCTCTGTCGTATGAGATGAGAGATGTGTGACTAACAAGTTGTGGTCAAAGTAGACAAAGCTGTCTTGCGGGTTGCACAAATTCCGAAGGTGTCTTCAACCTCAGAGAATACCACATTATCGAATGTTTCGGAGCCTGTGTACAGTAAGAAGTCATAGATCATTCCGCATACTCCTGCCCTGACAAAAAGTTTGAAACCCCACTTCTTTGGTAGATATTGGCGGAGGTTCCCTACTTTTGTACCTTTGTATCCAATCATCATTTCATCAATAGAAAACATATTTTCATGAGGTATATTCAAACATTTTTGACGGATGTACTCAACAACTGGACAGATTTTGAAGATTCTGTCACTATTGTGGTAGTAATGAGAGATGTGTGACTAGCAAAGTTGTGGTTCTGAGAAGAACCGATTTATAAAAGCGTTGGACACATTGCTGTGTCTGTGATGAGTGGTAGCACTGGTCCAGCATCCGATGGTTGATACACCTGCGGTATTCAGGGGTTGATACTGTTTCAGTATCCAATGATAGTTAGCCTGGTGTTAGACTGATTTATTTGAATATTTACAAGGTATTTATACAAAACTATTTACATCGGTTTAAATGGCAAAGAACATTTCAGCACTTTACATTTGTGTGTGTAACTGATTTTGACCTAGTTAGTCGCACTATGTCGCGACCTAACTAAGTCAGCACAAATGCAGACGCTTAATGGATACACATTATAAATGTTTCTTGCTATACCGAGTGTTCCCACAGGACCCCCCTTCCAGTCAGGAACGATGTGGATCAGCTTACTCGGATATAGCTTGGAAAATGTACTCGACGACCGGACCGGGTTGTAGTACGCGCTGGTCGATCGTCTATTTTCTTCGTTGTGAGTATAGGTTGGGAATGCTGTTTTTCTTTCACGATATATGATTGACGCAATCTTTATTAGCAGATGGCCAAATAAATCGCTGGGTTACAAGTTTTATGGGAGCACGGATGCCAGGATGTGTTAGGGAATGTAATTGTTTGAATGCTGCGAAACGAAATGTTGAAGTTAAAAAAAGGTCATGCCGTACCAGTAGAGATGTCGCAGAAAATGCCTTTATTTGAGCCGGGAATGTGAATTCGTTTGAGATGTAATGATTGGTCTGAGTTAAGATAATGTTGTAGTTCTCTATCGGATTCCTGTGCAGAAGAAAGGGCTTCGTAGTCAATGTGTGTTGATAACTCAGAAATCCGTGAGTGTGTCGGCGATAATATTATTTTTCCCAGAAATATGTTGGATGCTCATTGAGAACTGGCTAATGAAGTTGAGGTGCCGTAACTATCGGGGAGAGCATTTCGTCAGGGTTCTGACGGAAGGCAAAGGTAAGGGGCTTGTGATCTGTAAAAATTATGAAGTCACGGGCTTCGAGAAAATGGCGGAAATGCTTAATAGTGCGATAAATCGCAAGAAGTTCTCGGTCGAATGCGCTGTAGGGTAAGGTCGCCTTAGTCGTACCAGTTCAAGGAAAATAGCTATAATTTCTGTTGTAATATAAATAAAAGAAAAATATTTACAATCATAAAATCTTCTTTTATTAACGAATCAAAAAACATTGATAGCCATTTAAAAATCTTAAAAAAAAATGTTTTTCAAAGGTTTTACAAAAGCCTTCCTTCGGTACGACTTAGGCAACTGGTTGCCTTAATCGTNGTGATGTTCCATACTCTACGATTTATGATAGTATTCATCCTATATTGATGGAGTCAACAATTGTATATGTTAAGGGATTACAAAAGAAAATGTGGTTATTGGAATACTTTCCTAATGTTAACTTTGTTAACATTGAAGACATCGAATGTCCATCTCTCTTAAGTCTAGCAGCTGATTTAAAAGTAAACGTGTGTTCTTATCATTTATTTAAAATAGCTGTAGAACCAACTTGTGCTTACAAAAATGTTCTTTTATTAAAATATTGGTTGTTATTACACTCGTAAAATCATTTAACCCTTGTGTTCATACGCGGGTACCCGGGTGCCCACTGCGATATATTTTCGTGATAAAAACTGACAAATGATAAAAATTTTTTTTTGAGCTCCCGGATCCTCGTTATTAAGGTGAAAAGCGAACAAATCATGTATTTAAAGAAAAGTTTTTTTATTCTTCTTATTTTTTTCATTGGCTTAAACTTGAGCCATCGCATCATGCGCACCCGGGTACCCGGGTACCCACAACAGTATTTGTATGAAATACGTTTGAAATTAATTTTGTTCAGAGATGATAATTTATTTTATTATTAAAACAAGGAAATACAACACATGTTTATTTACAAATAATATTATTTATTGCATTCTATACATTTTACAACATGAGCTGTGTGCTCATCGAAACCGGTCGTTCACATTCACTGCAACTCTTCCGCGTTTTTCGTCGTCTTTTTATTGTCATTTTGTAGCATAAGTAACAGGATCCAGTAATTTTCTTTCTTCCAGTTTTGTCTGTTGCAACCGATGGACCAGGGTCTTGCGTTACTCTTGTTATTTCACGACCTATGGTACTCTCAATGGCAATTTTTGTAGTATAATTACGCATCACTTGAGGATTCGTCATACGTTCTTCAATCATTGGCTTGGCAAGTTCTTCACTGAGTTTGCGTAGAAACAGACGTCGTTCCCCTGTTTTCTTTTTAATCATTTTATTATTTCCATAATAAATTAGGTATGCTGCGAGTGTAGCGATGTCTAATATGTTGAAGAACATTGCCATTGACCATCTTGAACTGCGCCGCTGACACTTGTATATCTTCTGAGCATTTGGTCCATACTGTCAACGCCAGTTTTGTATTTATTATAATAACTGATGATATCAGGCTTCTTCTTTGCATCATTACCCACAGACATATCTGAATGCATTGTCGATATCAGAATTACTGCTTTTTTTTTTAGGTACGTAAGAACACATCGTTACTTCGTCGTGAAATCCAAAAACTGTCGAATATTGCTCTCGTGACTTATTTGCTGCCATGATACCAAGGATGTATAGTTTATTTTTCTTTATTTTTCCAACAATGGTGAGATTCCAAGATAGCAAGTGCTTTGCAACGGGTAGAGTTGTAAAAAAATTATCCATGCAGATATTTCTTCCACTTCCTCGGTAGAGAGCTGCTAATTCTTTTACTACTCTCTCTCCCTTATTTGTTTCGCGGGTATTGTTTATTTTGCCAGTATAAATTAAGCCGTGTAACGGATAGGCGTTTACAGCATTACAAATCCACCAGATTTTTATACTATACTTAGCTGGCTTCGAAGATAAATACTGAGTAAATCCTATACGACCTCGAGATAGATATAATTGTTCATCAATAGTCAAATTTTCCATAGGCTTGTACATTTGCGATAAATTTGCATTCAGCATTATCCACAAATCCCGAATCGGAGCTGCTTTATCCTCTTTCTTGCGTTGAGTGCGAGTATTAGCGTCGTCAAATCTTAAAAAACGCATGATGTTGTGGAATCTGTTAATTCCCATTGTCGCGCGATACAGTGGATATGAATTGGAATGCCACATATCAGAACAATGGTCGATGTTGGAATTATTTGCCCCAGCACAAATCAAAACAGCGAAGAATGAATAAATTTCTGGGATCGTCACAGGCTTCCATTCTCACTGCGAATCTGGATGATTTTCATTGTAACTCTGATAGATGGATGAAGCTTTCTTATTTGTGTGTCGGACGATAATGTCCACCATATTGTCTGTGAAGATTTTCTTGAACGTTTCGCTTATGGATAAGGTTTCCATGCTGCGATGAGGTCCACTTCGCTGACGTAAAACATTACGAGCTGCAGTCTGATGATTATGTGGTGGCGTTTCCCCCCACACAGTTTTATCCTTTGCAATAAAACTGCTGGTTACTAATTCTACAATAAGCAATCAATATAAAATAAATTTAATATTCAAATAAAAAAATGACTTCTCTATCATAATAAGCAAAAAAATGTTCACTACCTTCTGGCTCTGCAGTTTCTGCTTCATCGTCTTCCTCACTCTCACTATTGTGAAACTCAATCGCTTCCTGTTCTTATGCTTGCTCGTCGATATTATCCTCTATATTTTCATAATTTTGTGATTCTTCATTTTTAGAGTCGTTATCTGAAATTGGAGCAGTTGAGATTGGCTCTGGAACGCAGTCCTCGTCCTCGCCATCAGACACTCCACTTGAATCTGTATCTTCATCACTCAAAATGACCTTCAAGTAGGCCTCTTGTTCTGCTGCACTCATTCTGAACAATAAATTAATGTTTCATTATGTACAATAATACTTTACATAACATAATATAGTACAAGAATNTTTGAAATTATTAAGTGCTTCTTTCTTATAGTGACTCATTAATGCGTTCTAGATTGGGTCACCTTCAAAAACACCTGCTAATTTAGTTAAAATTACCTGAATTTTGTCGTAAAAATTTTCAACTGATTCGTTAGGTTTTCTAACGCATGAAATTAATTGATTAAATAATAAATCTTCATTTTCTGGAGATATAAACTTTATTGTGATTAGAGCTTTTAGAGTAGACCATTAACTTGGCTTTTCTACTAAATATGCAAATTCTGGTCTGCCGGTCCGCGTTTTTCGACGTCTTTTTATTGTCATTTTGTAATGTGGCCACTCTCTGTCGTATGAGATGAGAGATGTGTGACTAACAAGTTGTGGTCAAAGTAGACAAAGCTGTCTTGCGGGTTGCACAAATTCCGAAGGTGTCTTCAACCTCAGAGAATACCACATTATCGAATGTTTCGGAGCCTGTGTACAGTAAGAAGTCATANCATATTAATAAATATTAATTGATATTTTATTATGTCGAATTTGCAAACATTGCTTATATAAAAGTAATGGAATTATTGCTTACATATACACTTTACTTACCGAGCAAATTCTTCTCTGGATAGTTCTTTCATCATTCCTTTCCGCTTGACTCTGAATATTATAAACACGTCTGAATTCACCAGAAACTCAAACTATACTGAAGGGAGCTAACATTCCCTCCACTACGCTGTAGAAACGTTCTTTTCTATGAAGGGAGCAGCTGCTGTGCTCCGAACAATTGAAATAGTGTCTACTACCTGAGGTGCCCTTAACTTATTTCTCACGTTGAATACATTTCTACAGCATTTTCTGTTTTAAAACTCTCTCAAATACTCAATAATAATGTATATTTTAGAGAAAAAATTATCTAAACAGTTTTTAGTTAATCAAAATATTAAAAAACTAAAAATTCCATGAAATGGGTACCCGGGTACGGGTATGTTTGGGTATGAACACAAGGGTTAATGGAACGCTTCGTCAGGAATTGTCCAGTCGGTGTTCCAGGGGTTGGAAGTCTTTTCCAGGGATGTTGGTTCCTGATGTGGATAGAGACGTCGCAGAAGTTGAAACTTTTGAGATGAAATTCGTAGATTTCCACCCTCTCTATCCTGTTCCGGGCAGCGCCAATTAAAACGTGCGATGTTCGAGTGGAGTTTTAAAAAACACTTTGTTTTACTTTAGCGGTTATGTTTCGTGGATCCAGAGCACTGCCACGTTTTCTCCACACACGCATGCTAGCGTTGCACTTAAAATGCAGAATTTTCTTTCATCTCAAAGTAGTACGTNGTTAAATACATTTCTACAGCATTTTCTATTTTAAAACTCTCTCAAATACTCAATAACAATGTATATTGTAGAGAAAAAATTATCTAAACACTTTTTAGTTAATCAAAATATTAAAAAACTAAAAATTCCATGAAATGGGTACCCGGGTACGGGTATGTTTGGGTATGAACACAAGGGTTAATGGAACGCTTCGTCAGGAATTGTCCAGTCGGTGTTCCAGGGGTTGGAAGTCTTTTCCAGGGATGTTGGTTCCTGATGTGGATAGAGACGTCGCAGAAGTTGAAACTTTTGAGATGAAATTCGTAGATTTCCACCCTCTCTATCCTGTTCCGGGCAGCGCCAATTAAAACGTGCGATGTTCGAGTGGAGTTTTAAAAAACACTTTGTTTTACTTTAGCGGTTATGTTTCGTGGATCCAGAGCACTGCCACGTTTTCTCCACACACGCATGCTAGCGTTGCACTTAAAATGCAGAATTTTCTTTCATCTCAAAGTAGTACGTGATTCCAAAAGTCGTCGTCTTTAGTTAGAAATTGTTTTGCAAAGCAGTTGTTTCCTTCTTTGTTTAAAGTCCCTGTTGTTGTAACAAAATATCCTAGACACTATATATTCATCTAACATCCGTTCTTTCGAATTTCTGCGCACAATTGCCCTTCTTTTTGAACAAAAAATATCGAATTTAGATTCGTCGCTCCACATCACAATTTTCCATTGTTCGTGTGTCCAGGTTTTGTGTACTCGATCCTATTTAAGATAATTAATTTTATTTCGGCGCCAAAGAAGTGGCTTCTTTATTGCCTTTTCTCATCAATTTTTTTTTAATAAAAACCGATTTTGTTTCCACCCAGAAGTGCTGTTCATCAAGGTAAACAAAGCGATAAAATCTACTTCCTGTTTTTTTAAGCTCCTGAGAGCAAATTGTTGAAAGCAGAAAAGTAGTGTGGGCTTGCGTACAGAGAAACTATTTGACACTCTTAGTAGGGTAAGATAACCGATTCTAGCACAGAGGAGTAGGTAACTGACGAAACGTCATAGATCGTAAACGTGTAACTGTTAAATGGTTACTGTTAAACGGTTGCTGTTACTGGTCACATGATGTTAATGGCTCTTGACGATGTCAGTCAGTATAAGCATTAATACATATATTGTTGAATTTATACTAGAAAGAATGCGGATTTTGAAAAGAAGGTACATATTCAGTTGTGAGAGGGAAAGAAGCAGGAATACGCTAGGAGGAGGGAGAAGGTGGTTGAGTTGGACAGTTAAATGTTATGTCGATAATTAATGTAAAAGTTGTTAAGGTTAACGATTCTTTATTTTGATATAAATAAAGTATATGAGTGCTACAATCAAAATATTGAATAATAAAATTACATTAATAGTGCTTACAACTTGTAGAAATAGGAAAGAGTCGATGATGTAACTCTTTGATACAGAGCCCTCTCTGTTTTCAGCCTCATGAAGGTGAATCCATCGGCTTTCAACGTATTTTCGAGACCGTCCATCTTTTTCAATGAATGCAAGTTTTGCAGAGTGCAGGTTTTCCACGTTTTCAATGGTATAAACATTTGTACCATTCACATTTTTTCAAATAACAGATCTCCAATTTTTCATCCATGCACAAGGCACATCAATATCTTTATTAAAATTTTTACAAACATAGGCTTGATCACCAATTGTATTATCAGGTCATCAAATGTACAGGGTGTTGTTATATAAATATGTTAAAATCAGCAAGGACGATACACTGATCATAATTGGTTTTTCCATTACAACTAAGATGATGAATACGAAGAACGTGTTCTTATTGCACTGCCCCTCGAAGATACCTGTTTTAGTGGAAGGGGTTTGAAGTACATAAGTTACGCGAATGAGTGAAGGAGCAGTAGAAGTTTAGAGGTGTTGAGTGTGTAAGTTAGTAAACATGGAAAGCTTTATCGAAAAGTTTAATAGTGTGCGGGTGGGTTATGAAGAGAAAGAAATACGTTCTCTAACGTCATTGGAAGTGAATCAAACGTATCCCGTACAACGCTTCAAAAAGGTTCACACAAAATGGGGTCCTCGTTTGTTAGGTGATTTGTACAGCTTTGTTATATATCTTTCCTGCAGACATTCAGAAACTTTTACGGATGCAGAAATCGAGGATATAAACGATAAAATAGATAAAAAAGTGGGTCATCCATCAATTCGACTCGAAGGATTTGTCGGAAAAGCAGTTGATATAGAAATACAAATGTAAAATGTATAGCGTTATGTAAGAGAATAAAAAATCTATATTTTATTTTAATGTGTTTTATTTGTTTAAATGATTTTATGAGTGTAAAGACAACCAATATTTTAATAAAAGAACATTTTTGTAAGCACAAGTTGGTTCTATAGCTGTTTTAAATAAATGATAAGAACACACGTTTACTTTAAAATCAGCTGCTAGACTTAAGAGAGATGGACATTCGATGTCTTCAATGTTAACAAAGTTAACATTAGGAAAGTATTCCAATAACCACATTTTCTTTTGTAATCCCTTAACATATACAATTGTTGACTCCATCAATATAGGATGAATACTATCATAAATCGTAGAGTATGGAACATCACCGTCATCCCAATATAACCCATGAAAATTTCTGGTTAACCAACGATTTTGACTTCTGTAACGAACTGGGAGGGCGTCCCAGGGAAATGGTGGCTGAAATGTGAAATGATAAATTGGTTCTTCTTTTAGCGCAACAATAGCTACTTCCTTGAAAACAAATCGATTCTCACAACATTGAAAACCTTGTACATCTAGTATAAAAGTCATCGTGCTCACTTTTCAGTACCGGTAAAGAAAGTGAAGTATGGATGTAGTAATTGGGTTTTATACTTCTTGAACCAAGTTTGTAGAGGGATTGTAACGTATCACACGATCATGAATGATTAAACAGTAAGCTGCTGTTTTATCTGGTATATTGCGTTTAGTTTGAATTTCTAAACGAATATCGATACTCCCAGATTTCACAATTTCATTTTGATAAGAGCAGTCTACTATTCCAAGAGGAGCAATTGTTCGAAATTCCTTAGGATCGAATAAGGGTTCACTAACATTACCATAATACGACTGTTGAAAATTAACATACATTTCGTATAAAACAGCAAATCTGGAAAGATCAAAATCTAAATTCAAATTATCATACGGGTACATAGTGGATCCTAAGTGAACTTTAAAATTTGTTAGGTTGCAGTGATCGAAAACACTCCTGCTCGGTTGTCAAGGTAGTGGCTCTAGCCCAACCTAATAAATTAGCGGTTGGCATGCCACAGTTGTCGTTGTCGGGTCTTAACTCATCAATATACCACTCAGCTGGGGCGGCGGGGTTGATGGTTTTATTCATGTCTTGCTTTATGCGTTCGGACAAGAATATTGGTGCGGGCATACTTTCATATCTCCAGTGGGTGGCCGCACTGATCTGATTAAAATGACCGTGCAGATTAGGCCATGCTGGGAATGTGATTTGGTATTTTTGCTGTGCCGCATCCATAGTGCACCCGATTGATCTTAAATACTCATCTATGCAAGCCGGCACCGAATAATTATCTGGTCTGAGTGCCTGTTTGAAGTTGCACTCACCGTGTGTGTTTTGACCTTTATGGTCCTTGATGGCTATGATTCGTGCGAACAAGTGCA